CCGACGGCATCTTCCCAGCACTTCTACAGCAAGGAGGGCAAGCTCTATTGCCGTTCCTTGTTGGGCTGATGAGGGATAGCCTTGCGTTGTCGTACATCCCATCAACGTGGAGAATAGCTAGGGTAATCTTCATACCTAAGGTAGGAAGGAAGGACTATTCACTAGCCAAATCCTTCAGGCCTATTAGTCTCACCTCCTTCATGCTAAAAGGTATGGAAAAGATTATAGACAACCATATAAGATCGAAAGCACTAAAAGTCGCACCTCTGCATGCAAATCAGCACGCGTACAGGGTAGGTAGGTTTACTAACACTGCTCTGTACCAATTAACGGCTGAGATCCAGAACTCGCTGGAGAATAATGAGGTTGCGATATGTGCTTTCCTAGACATTGAAGGTGCTTTTGATAATGCGTCTCACGCAAGCGTGATCAGGGCACTGGAGAAGAGGAACGTGGAAGCTCCTATATGCAGATGGATTAAGGCCGTACTGCACACTACGATTGCAGAAACTACGGTGGGGGAGAGCAAGATACGTCTTGGTACTACGAGAGGCTGCCCTCAGGGTGGGGTTGCTAACGAACAATGGAATCCGGTGCCAGGGGTACGCCGACGACATCGTCATAGTGGCAAGAGGGAAATTTGAGAACACTCTCTGCGACATAGTCCAAAGGGGCCTAAACCTAGCAAAGGGATGGTGCGACACGGTAGGGCTAAACATTAACCCGTTAAAAACAACCGTCATCCCTTTCACAAAAAGAAGATCTCTTCCGGGCCTTAGAAGACTATCCCTTGGGGGCAGAGAGCTAAAAGTGTCGAGGGAAGTAAAATACTTAGGCCTCACACTAGACTCCACCTTGCGGTGGAATAGGCACGTGGAGCTAACGCTTTCCAAGGCCACAAAGGCGCTCATGGTGTGCAGACGCCTCGCCGGCAGATCCTGGGGCTGCAAACCTAGTATCATCAGGTGGCTGTACACCATGATCGTGAGACCTATTGTTACTTATGGAGCGGTGGTTTGGGCATCGAAAGCAAAGCAGACTTCGATAGGTCTTCAGCTATCGAAGCTGCAGAGACTTGCCTGCGTCTGCGCCACTGGGGCAATGCGCACCTGCCCCACCGCAGCACTTGAGGTCATGCTAGAGCTCACACCACTCCATTTGGTTATCAATCAGACTGCGAAGCATACCATGCTGCTTATGACAGCAGAGGGGTATGGTAAAGGGAAGTTAATCTCGTCTCAACAAATGAGGGCCTTAGAAGATAACACGCCACTGGCCCTCCTTCCAAGAGACGGTATAACGAAGAGAGTAAACTTTACGAAAAAGTTTAAAGTTACTCTCGGCAGTAAGGCGAACTGGAGCGATTCCACACTTGACCAACTGCTGAGAGGTAGCACTATTCAGTGGTACACTGACGGCTCGAAAACACCAGAAGGAATTGGCGCTGGCATTGCGGGACCGCACACCAAGCTTTCCATTCCCATGGGCAGTTTTCCAAGCATTTTTCAGGCAGAAGTATTTGCCATAAGTCAGTGCGCAGTAATAAATCTCCAACGCAACTATCGGAATAAGAGTATCGCAATACTCAGCGATAGCCAAGCGGCGCTAAAAGCGATATCGGCCTATGAGATACGATCGCTATTAGTGGAGGAGTGTATAGGAAGGCTTAACCGCCTAGCAGCTTGCAACCGTGTACACCTGATCTGGGTGCCGGGGCATAAAGGGGTAGCCGGCAACGAGTTGGCAGACGAACTCGCCCGCTCTGCTGCGACTACAAGAATGATGGGGCCAGAACCATACATTGCGGTAGGGCCCCATACAATAAAGGAACTGCTCCGCACGGAGGAGAGATCGAGCAGAGACAGTCACTGGCAACAGACAGCAGGGATGCGTCAGGCCAAACTGCTACTGGGAGGGTTCAACCTAGCCAGGTTCAGAGCAATTATTAACCTCCCCAGAGACAAACTCCGTCTCCTTGTCGCGCTCTACACTGGGCACTGCAGGCTCAAGAAGCACCTATCAAACATGGGCTTAGCTTCTTGTGGCAACTGCCGATTCTGCGACATGGGACCGGAAACACCAGAACACCTAATCCTAGATTGCACCGCAATTTGTAGACGCAGGTTCAAGGCCCTCGGTTCCATTTTTGTGACCAGGGATCACATTGCCTCAATAGCACCCAGCAAGTATCTGGAGTTTTTCAGGGTGCTGGGACTTTGGGAATGCATGTGATGGAGGAGAGGGCACAATAGACCCTAGGTCGCAGTGCATACCTCATTTTTTTCAAATCAATCAAATCAATCTCCACAGGCAATGTACATTGCTCACCATCTGTCAAATGCATTGCCATTGAGGTTGGCAATGTTTTAATGCCCGCATTACTATCATAAAATATTTATTGTGGAAATGGCATGCTTGAGCTGATATACCGCATGTTTGAGATCTAGAACCGTTTAAAATATTATGGGAATGACAAAAACTTAAGTGTAGGATGAAGAAATTAGAAATCTACTTTTTTCTACAAATGTCTAATGTGGAAAAATAAGATTTTATGTTTTAGACTTAAATAATTGTTGCATACAGTTTACTTATCAATTCAATAATATAACATGATAATTAATATATACATATGCTAATAATTATCATTAAAATATTAATTAGTATATATGGTATTTAATTACTATTTTCCATGTTTTGTTAAAAATTATGTTTTGAATATATATTACTGCTAAATTGCAATTTACTCAACTAAACATAAAACATTTGCATTTCACCTCTGGTGATTTTGGCTTCAAAACTTATATGCAAATGAAAACAGCTTTGTCAAACCAAATGACAGTTCATTGCTAGCAAAATATGGCATGGAATGTATTTAGATATCAATTGCTAAACATTAGCAATGTACAGTCATTGGAAATTTAGCAATTCAGATTTTTAGCAATCTTTAATTGCATGTCGAGATGCCCCTTTAAGTTGTCTGTCGAGATAACCCGTTACAGTTCAATGGCAATGTTTCGTCATGAAGTTGGAAGAAATTTAATTTGTAATAGGTCGTTTCTTGAATATGAATCCTAATAAATTTATTAAATATTGAAATATTTTAAAAATATATAATCAAAAGTGCAGTCAAATAAAAATAACATTGTCGTGAAATATATATAGGTTCTGTGCTCTAGTATATTATTTATTACATTCTTTTTGCATGAACGTGCCTGCATATTGGTAAGTATAAAATGGTGGAAAAAAAATATATATACATATATACTTTTAACATGCATCGTAAAATAAGATTTACAATTTTGTTATTATGTGTATTTAGATCCAGATTTTTAACGTAAGGTAAGTTTTGTTAAACATAGAGTGCTAAAAGAAGGGGCTGTTTCATCGAGGAGCTTAGAGTTGTTCTGCGGCCTGCCAGCAGAAAAAACTTATTTTTGTGACTGAAATATGTCGGACGCTATAGCTGCACCACTAATACCCCAACTGCAAGAGATGCAGCAACAGCAGCAACATAATGGCGTCAATACTAATGCTTCGAACCCTCAGCAATGGTATTCCAATCCATGGTATGCTAATCAACAATATCAGCAACAATATAGTCAATATTATCAATACTACATGCGATATGGATTACAACAACAACAACAGCAGTCTCAACAAAGCAATAATGCACCTCCTGGATTTAGTAATTCTGTAATTCAACCTACTGATAAAAGTTTGCCACCACTACCTTCTGGTCCTCCTCCTCCCCCGCCAATGACCCCTGGTAACAATCAGTTGCAAGGTAATCAAAAGGGGTTTGGTGGAATTCGATTTAATTTGAATCAACAGAAGCGTTTAGCGAATGCTCCCAATCCGTTACAAAATTCAAATTCCCCGATGAATACTTTCCAAAATAATACGGCTAATAATGGTTTGAATGCTACAGTCATGAACAACGTAATTGGCAGCGGTAAAAAAAAACGTAAACGTAATAAGAAACATAACGCGCTACAACAACAGCAGCAGGCTGCTTTCGATGCTCATTTTGAAAACCTGAATACGAGCGCACAAATGAACGGAAACTTCGTTAACACATCTTTACCACCACCTACAATTCCTCCTCCTATAACTCCGGATTTAACGAAACCGCCTCCTCCAATTTTGCCGTATAATAATTTCAATGTCACTAGTGCTGTTGAGGTTAATAAACAGGGCGAACAAAAATCACTTAATAACCATGTCAGTTCTGTTGAGGCACCGAAGAAGAAAATAAATCTATTTAATAATCCCAATGATGCTTGGCCAGAGTCTTTAAACAGTTATGTAGCTCGTTGCTATGCTAAATGCGCTACCGATTTGGATAAGGACCAAGTTGATATATGTTTGAAAGGAAAAATTATGGCAGCTGCTAATCGTAATGAGCTTTGGACTCGCGATTGGGACAATGAGCCAGTACCGAGTGTTCACAGTGAAAGAAATAATGTACAAATGCAACTGTACAATCAGAGAAATAAGCAACAACAGTCACAGGAACAAATACAAGACACCCAAAATTATAAACAGCAACAAAATCAAATTATCCAGAAACAATCAACACAACAAAAGAATTTAAAAGGTATATCACGTAGTTTAAACGCTCGATTAGGTCAACGGAACTCATTTGTTGGCGCACAGAGGATATCAAGAGATTCTAGGAGTCGCTCACGGTAAGATATATCTAAGGATTCTTTCATATTGTAGCATTCTACTACAACTTTTAATACTGTTTTAGCTCTCCACAATCAAATAAATATCGCAAGCGAAGTACTCGTTCACGTTCAAGTAGTCCCGTATCAAGTCCGCGCCGGAAAATCTGTCGCAGTTCTAGTTCGGAATCCTCTGATAGACGGTCTTCCGATAATTTCATTCCTTTTAATCCTTCTAGTAAAAAGACACAAAAAGTTAATAGCTCCAAAAGAAGCAAACATGTTAAAAGCGCAAATTCTTTATCTAAAGTACCCTTTTATTCGTCTTCTATCGGTGGGGCGGTTGACGATGACACTATTCGTTTGCAACAGCGCGCAGCACGGTTCTCTCAAGGATCATTGTCAAAAAAATCGGTTGTCTTATTAGGAAATTCTCCTTTCGGCGCTACGAAACAACAAAAGCAAAAAAAATGCGTTAATAGTTTGGGCGGGCGTATGTATACGGATATTGAATCGGCGGGAGGTTTTGAGACTGGTTTAGATTTATTCGATTTACATATAGTAGGTACATGTAGGGACTTGGAAAAGTCATTTCTTCGATTAACAAAGGCGCCATTACCGTCGGAAGTGCGGCCCATTGAGGTGTTAATGCATTCGCTGCAAAACGTAAAACAAAAATGGAGGGACAATCAGGATTATTATTATGTATGCGATCAGCTTAAATCTATACGTCAAGATCTGACAGTAAGTGTTTCGAATGTAGGAAGTGTGATTATTCGTGTGATACAGTTGTTCATTTTTCAGGTTCAAGGTATTCGAGATAAGTTCACAGTAGAGGTATATGAAACACATGCACGTATTGCAATGGAAAAAGGTGATCATGAAGAGTTCAATCAATGTCAAACACAATTAAAAATGCTTTATACGGAAGTAGGAGTTAGTGTGAATTCATTGGAATTTACAGCATATCGCATATTGTACTATATATTTACAAAAAATACCTTGGGTGAGATCATATAAATTAAAGACTTTACATAATTTTAATTGTTCTTATTTTACTATTAGACACAACTACTGTTCTACGCTCAATAAAACAATCCCAGCGTGATAATCCAGCTATTGCTCATGCCCTCGCCTTTCGGTCGGCTTGGGCACAGGGTAACTACTGCAAGTTGTTCCAACTTTACAAGGCCGCGCCTCTGATGGCGGGACATTTAATTGATTGGTTTATTGATAGAGAGCGCAAAGGTGCATTACGCACAATTATAAAAGCGTATGTAAAAAATTGAAAAAAAAAATTATAAAAATTGTCTCAATCTTAATTTGTTTTCAGTTACCGACCCTCTATTGGCATTGACTATATTTCGAATTTACTAGCTTTTGGAAGTAAAGAAAAATGTAAAGAGTGGCTAGAAACATTCGGCATGCCAGTGATTGGTGCTGAATGTGATCGTATTGATTGCAAAGAAGCAGCAACATTAAACATCTAATTAAATAACTGTGATGGTTAATAAGGAAATTATACAATAGAGTGAAAGCTTGAGCGTTGGTGGATATTACAGCATTATATAGTGTAACTGCGAAAAAACGGTCTTTACGATGAAACCAACCATTTATAGCTCAAACACCAAAAGAAAAATTTTATCAGCGAGCGAAACACCTCATTGGGTTCACTTCATGAGATATAGTAGCATTTTATACGCCAGGTGCTTTATTGCATACACGATACAAACTTTTTTAAATGTTTCAAATTTACATTGGTTAACGAGTAGTGGTAATTATTGTGGGGATTACAAATTATTTAGAACTTGTAAGTGTATTTCAATATAAAAATTTACGTGCGGGTTTTCAACATGCATCAAATTAAGTGAACAAAGCAAAAAAAAAAAAACTGGAAATAACTTTAAATACTTTTTCAGTGTGTTGGAAACGGTAAGCAATTTTCGATTGCTAACAAAGTTTTAAAAAACCAATAACCACGTTTACAAGGTCCACGTATCCACGGAATGGGTAAAGTCAATAATATACGAGGAAAAGTAAGGGATTAAATTTCCTCGTTCTCAAAAGTCTAATCAATTCCCGTTAGCGCCGTAACGCCGAAAACACATTTGTGGACTAATTTATTAATTTAAATGGAAAATTTAACAATTCAAAACTGCGCTGATTGGATAATCATCCTATAAAGTCGGAAGTATATAGTCAGCAACTTTTAGTTTCCGGCTATGATATATTATATACATTTACCGATAGTACTGTGGATTCACGATCTGTCGCAATGAAATTGTTATTTACTTTAAATTGAAATAATGTTTTTTAGTTATGCCATTGAAACGAGGCTTAATAGTTAGGATGTTAAGTTCTCGATTCTGTACATCATTAGGTTTATAATTTTTTTTATGCCTTGATACATGATATGATTATGCTAATGAGAACAAGTCGTTTTGCTCCCTCAGCAAATTTATAATACAAAACAATTATTCAAAATTGGGTGCAAATTTAAGGTTTCCCCAAAATCTATTATGTATATATCCAGAAGATTATTGTAAATTTTACCATATTTTGTACGTTAATTTTCCTAATGTTTTCTGTCTCTTCTACAATTATCGGTGATTTTATGAACTTATTTTATTGCAAAATTAAGTGCTTTCTAAGATGATGGAATGTTGAAGCCACAGTTGGTTAAAGCTTGTGATATCTTCAACATTAAAAATTGGATACTACAAAAGTTAAAACGCAAACTATACAGTTGTCTACTCTTACGATCTACATAATTATAACACGGAAATGTTTCTACACCCAAGAATACACTCTACTTCGTCGCATCAGACGCCACCAAAATATTCAATGCAAAACAAGAATGGAAATTCGTCTGAACAGCACGGCCATCATGTTATCTTCAATAATAACGCGACGTTTTACCCTGGGTCCGCCGGTTATATTAATTTTTCATTTAAATAAGTACTTTTAAGTGTATAAGGAATTTTTAAACGTTCTAGACTTAAGTATTTATACCTGTATTCATAATTGTTACTGATTTCTGATTGTGTTTTTGTTTGGCATTTGAAATCTGCCGCCAAAAGAGATTGCCCTTCTCATTTGCATATGGTTGACTCACGTTTGCATGAACATACAATAAATTAGCTAAACAAATTTAAATGTTATGTTTTTATTGTAATTTCATGTAAATCCCAAAAAATACTGGCTAAAACCTAGATGACTGTTGTAGCAAGGAGTGTAAACACTCTTTTAGAGGACAGGTCAAGAGAACGGTGTATTAGAAGAGTCGGTTTTACAGGGCTTGCAAAAAAGTAGTAAGTGTAATGACACTGCAAGGCATATGTTCAGTTTGTCAGAGTTTATTAAGGCAACTCGAGCTGTTGTTGTTGTTGTTGTAACGGTTGCCTAGTCCCCGTTTGGGTGATTAATTCCAGATTCGTTGTCGTCGAGGTCATCTAACGGGAGGCCCAGGAAACGAGCTGTTTCGACGGGGTCGGACCATAGGGAGAAGGGTGTTAGATGGGTGGGGTTTGTTGGGCATACAAAGAGGTGGTTAGTGTCATGCGGAGACTCATTGCACGCAGGACATGTGTTTAGTATGTCGGGGTCTATTCTGCATAAGTAGGAGTTTAACCTGTTACAGTATCCGGAACGAAGTTGCGCGAGGGTCACTCTGGTTTCGCGGGGCAACTCGAGCTCTATGTCTGCTATGGGTGGTGGTTTGACTCCTATTACGCCATTCACTGAGAGGGAGTCTGTGAAGGTGTTGATGGCTCCACTGTGAATGGCGGTCAGTGCCTGTCTGAAGTTCGTTGCGTCCGGTCGGCGTACTGTCTAATGTCGTCGACGTAGTCAAGGAAAGGCCTCTTGATGTTCCAAGGAGGCGGCTCCGCTACAGTCAGGCGACTACAGGGGTGGTTTCTACGAAAACACCCCAGTAGAAACTGCTTGGAGAGGAGTTCGTTGTGTTCCTTAACCGGAAGCATACGGGCCTCACTATGTAGGTGTTCGATTGGAGACATCAAGAGGCATCCCGTGATAGTTCGGAGTGCAGTGTTCTGACAGGTCGGAAGCTTCTTCTTCTGCGTGTCACTGCATCTAGGCGACCATATTGGGGCTGCGTAATTTAGGACCGGCCGGCCGATTGCCTTGTATGTTGCCAACAACGTTTCTTTGTCTTTTCCCCAAGAGCTGCCGGCAAGCGACTTGAGGATTTTGTTGCGGCTCTGTACTTTGGCAGTTATCGCGGTCGCGTGTGGAGTGAAAGAGCACAGACTGTCCAAAGTGACGCCTAAAATTTTAGGACTATTTACTGTCGGAATTTTTGTGCCATCGACTGAAATATTCAGGTCCAGTCTGTACTCCTTCGTCCAATTTGTGAAGATGGTCGCTGTGGATTTGGTTGGGGAGAGTGTTAGGTTCCTTGCAGAGAAGAAGCGAGAAAGATCGGAGAGGTAGCCGTTTACTTGAACACATCCCATCGATTCCATTGCCCGACGTCAATATCGTACAGTCATCAGCGTACGAGGTCATTGAAATTCCCGCTGGTGGCTGGGGGAGTTTTGAAATATAGAAATTAAACAGTAGCGGGGAGAGGAAACCGCCCTGCGGAACCCTCTGTTTAATTTTCCTGAGTTTGGAGTTTTGACCTCGAAACAGTACGGATGAATGCCGACCGCTCAGGTAGTTCATAGTCCACCGCTTCAGCCCTGGAGGGAGCGTTGATTGTTCTAGGTCAAGTAGCGTTGTGTGATTGACTGTGTCAAAAGCTTTTGACAAGTCCAATGCTACGAGGATCGTCCTCTCGCAGGGTGGCTTCTGGTTCAGGCCATGAACTATCTGGGCGTTTATGACGCTAAGTGCTGTGGTGATACTTTGCTCTTTACGGAAGCCATGCTGATGATCTGCTAGGCTCAGGTGGTGAGTGAATGACGGAAGTAACAAGGCCTCAAGTGTCTTCACTACTGCGGAAAGGAGAGTTATCGGGCGATAAGACTCCCCTTTTTTGGTGTTTTTCCCAGGTTTCAGTAGTGGGACCACTCTTCCGATTTTCCACACATCGGGTATTTGAAGAGTGGATATCGACAGGTTGAGGACTTTGGTGAGATTATTTACTCCCGTTGGGCCTAGGTGTTTTAGCATCAGCATGCTTATTCCGTCAGGGCCAATGGATTTAGACGATTTCGCCTTTTTGATGACACTCTGAACCTCCCCATCGGTGAAAGTAAGTGGTGCGCAGTGGTTCACGCACGAGGATTGGAGCTGGATGAAGGTGGGGGGGAGGTTGGTCAGACTGGGAGTCATGCTGCCTGTGTGAGCTCCTTAGGGCCGTGGAGGTCCTATCTTGGCCACTCGACTGGAGTGGCAGCGCAGTGCGCGAACATGATGCAGGTTGCACAGCCGTTAAGGCAGATGTCGCATTATTGCGTTGACAGCATGGGGCCACGTAACTTGTGGTCCACTCCCTATGTGTCTTAAGGCCTGAACAGGTCTTAAGATGGCTCCATCCATTGAATGTATTGCACCTAACCGAGGTGGAGTTTGGATGGAGCCTTTTAGCGCAAACGCAGCAGTAAAATTTCTCGGGGCCCGGGTTGGACTCGATGCCAGCACGGGTCAGGAGGATACGGAGGATAAAACTCACCGATCCAAACAGGGTTAGATCGAAATAACAGCCCTTGGCCGGATAAAATCCGGGTCAATTCCGGTACCGCAGAACCGGCTGTTGTGGGAATTGGGCAACTCGAGCTCTTATTTTGTTGTTGTTGTGGCGACAGAATTCTGCCGAGTTGACAGTCCTTGGCCGGAATAAATCCGGGTCCGTTCCGGGTACGTAGACCCGACTGTCGTGGGAACGGCGAGCTCTTGTCTGACACCCCACGGTTTCTTTTATGAAAGGATAATTTCTGCGATATCATTATTTCAGGTGTTCTTCAGTACAACTTTTTAAACAACGCGGCTTCTAGTGGCGCCATCTGTCTGAAATTGTTATCCCTCAATTGTGTATTCTTCAGTGTTGTCGTGTAAAATTTATATAACAGCTGAGATATCGCGCTACATGTGACATTACATTTGTAGCGGCGGTCGGAAAATGAGCATCGAACAAAGAGCCAACATTAAGTTTTGTTTTAAACTTGGTAAAACTTTTATCAAAACTCATCAAATGATGAAACAAGTTTATGGCTATGATTGTCTATCCCGTAGCCGTATTCACGAGTGGTTTAAACGTTTTCAAGAGGGACGGGAGGACTTGGAAGACGACGAACGTTCGGGCCGGCCAAAAGATGTTGTGAACGAAAAAAACACGGAAATTGTGCGTGAATTCATTAAAAAAGAGCCAAAATCATCGCTTAAATATATGGAACCGAAATTATCAATATCCGCAGCGTCGATTTATTGTATTTTGACAGAAAATTTGGGCCTCAGAAAGGTTTGTGCTCGATTTGTCTCGCACACTTTGAAGCAACACGAAAAAGACCTCAGAATCAGACAGATTTTTTGACCAAAAATCGCATTCATATCATCAACCATCCACCCTATTCGCCTGATATGACACCCTGCGATTTTTATTTGTTCGGAAAACTACATTTGGCCATGAAAGGAAACCGCTATGCTGACGTTGATGCCATCCAAAAGGCATCCGCTATCCTCAACGCTATACCGACAAATGACCTAAAAAAGTCATTCGATAACCTTCTTGAACGTGCAAAACGTTGTATTCAGGCGGAAGGAGACATGGCACCGTGTGACTTTTTTCTTTTCCCTAAACTCAAATTGCCGCTTCGTGGAAAGCATTTTCAGTCGATTGAAGTCATAAAAGAGAATTCGAAGAAGGAACTGAAAGCCATACCTAAAGCGGCCTACCAGAAGTGTTATGAAGATTGGAAAAAAAGGTGGCATATGTGTATCGCCTCTAATGGTGACTATTTTGAAGGGGATAAAATAAATATTGAAGAATAATTAACCGTTTTTGTTTTATTGAGCCAGTCTCGTTTATATTTGAGCAGAAGTTATATCATAGAGAAGGTTCATGGTGAGCCGATTGTCAAAGTGTTCCTCTTGACGGAGGGTTACTCGCCAACATTAGAGCATTTCACCACAAACAAATTATAAGCTGATTTCACCAGAATTTTAACCCTGCGGAGCGCAAAATAGCAGAATTGAGCATTTTGAATGTTAAATGAGAAAAATAATGCTAAATTCAATGCGCAAACGACTTTGCATATAATTTTGAGATATTCTGCATATACAGGGCGGCTCACGAATCGTGCTACAAAAATAAACCGTAATAAGTTTCTTTTTTATCAATTTTTTTTGTATTGTATAAACAATTTTAATTTTATTTTATACAATTAATTATTTCTCCATTCTCAGCCACGCATATGCGACACCTAATTAGAGAATTAATGCGGGCTGAAGGGTTGAATTCGGGATTGCCTTAAATATGTATTTAATGGACTGCTTCAGTTCAGTCAGATTTCTGGGTTTGATTTTGTGCACCTCTTGCTTGACATATCCCGATAAGAAAAGACCCAGCGGTCGCAAATATTCTTATACATATATATATGTATAATTATGTGTGCATGTAAACAAATATGAAAGTACCCATTATAATTATTTATTTGTCTACATGCAACATTTGTATGTAAATATGTACACTCATTGTTTCATGGGAAATCAGAACCATACACACTCTTACAAACATACATCGAACATGGCAAGTACAAAATCAACCCCTATTCATATACAACGTGGCATGCGTAAATGGAAACAAAGTCAACCAGTCGTGTGCATATATACGGGCAGATGTGTGTACAAAAATTCATATATTTACATACGCACTTACGTACATTTTTTGACAAATACAGTCAATCCTGGTTAAGTGCCAAAACCAAAGTTGCAGATT